GGGAGGAAGGGCATTTCAGATGAAACAGCCTAATGTATAGGCACATTCTGGAAAGGGCACGTGGTTTCATGTGGCTTGAGTGATGGGGGTGTGGTGGTGGGACTAGTAGGAAAGAGGCTGGAAATGTAGCTGGTGGCTATATTGGTTTTCATAATCTGAATTTCACAAGTAAAGTTTTGAACTTGCTGTTACCACATAAATTAACTCCTTAGATGCCTCGGTCCTGTTGCTTTCTGGTACAAGTCTGAACAGATTGATTTGATCTGTTATTTCTGAATAATATTTCAGAAAGACAAGAAGAAATATCCAATAATGCACATTTTTGGCATTTCTGTTTGCATCCTAGTTGGAACCAGTGAGCACAACAATGAAAATTAAGAAAGGAGAGGAGGGTAGAAGCATAGAGCACGTCTGTTTGGTGTTTAAGAAGTGAAAATACATTGCAGAAAGCAGCCATCTTCAACCAGTTGATTGAGATCTTGACTAGAGATTTTTCTAGTTTTAAAAAAGTTGGAGTATCTCTGAGAAGGAATTCACTCTAACATGCAAAATTAACTAATCAAGAAAAAGAAATATCTTTGAGAAGAAATCCATCCCAATCTGGGTAATTAATAAAAAGAAAAATTTTAAACAGCTGTAGAAACTATTCAGGGAGAAACAGCCTTGAATAAAGACTGCCATCCATGTTCTCTTTTATCCCGTATAACAAATTATTTTCCATGCAAAATGCCAAGCTGTGTTTCCTACCCCGTGCATTGCCAGGAACATGATTCTGGCACATTGTGGCTTGTCCAGGGATACTCCTGATATCAATCTTGAAGACTATTCAAAACCAGGATGGGAGTCAGAGTTGATCTCTGCCAACATTCCTGCTGAGAATTAGCCCAGTTCCATTATGTGTGGGGGAGCCCCAGTGCCCTGCCCTTGCCTGTTTGGGGTACACAGATACAGCTGAGAGACTCCGCAGGGAGTGCGAAGTTAGGAAACCACACGATAGGAACACTATCACTTTTTCATAATGAGCTCTATGCAAGAAACTCAAAAGATCAGATTTTTCTGCCATTCAGTGCAGCTGTGGTGCTGCTATGAAAAACTACTTCTCCACAGGAAAAATGCAGAGGGATTGTGGACACTCTCACAGTGATCAGGGCTTCCAGAGCTCTCTGTATCTTTAACTCTTCCAACAATCTAGAGACCTAAGGGACAGATTAACTGCTTGGCTTGTGCCTTCATTCATCAGATGAAGAGATGAGGCCCAAGGAGCTGAAGTGGCTTTCCTGAGTTACAGGAGAGTTAGGACCCAAGCCACGGTTAGTAGTATCTAGGTCTTCCGACTCCTGTGGGCCAAACTGAAGTCCACAAACCGGAGCATGGGTATAATTAGCCAGGTTGTCAGAGATGGGGCAGGAGGTATAATAAGAGTACCTTGTGAAATCTTTGCTGATTGGGGAAAAAAGATAATAGTAACTCAAAATATGGTCTCTGTGCCTTTAGCCTACTTAACCTATATTCACATACTGCATGTTTCCCAAACTATATGTTTATCTGTTTGATCTTACAGATTGTCTGTTTCATCAGAATAGGGCTTGGTTTTCTAAAGTTCATCCCTATTGACTTAACTTTTAACCACTCAGAAGACCCGAGCATCCTTGCAGCCTCATGTATCCCACCAGGCACTTCCACCCTCTGGTCGCGTATTAAGGGGTTCAGCATGACCAGTGTAGCACATCCCCAAGGAACCCCACTTATCACTTTTCCATATAAGATGGCCCCGTGAATCCCAGACCTTTGCTTGATGTCTGTATTTCTTTTGTTCTTCTGTGTTTCTAAATGCATAGACTTTAATTTGGGAAGCCTTTGCATGGTATTTGTATAAGCAGCAGTTACGTTGGTTTGCATAAGTCCTATCTATCATATTTTTGTAAGCAGACACAGAGTGAGTTCTCACTTGAACATACTGTTTTTAAACGTTACTCTTTCCTATTAAGAATCCCCTGCTTTGGAGTTGCATCTGTTCTCCTTCCCATCGTCTCTTCCCCCTCATGATAACGAAAATGAGCCGTGCCTCCTGTTCGGGGTCACCTAACCTCACTCCACTGGCAGGGAGAATTAATGAGTAGTAACATATTCTCCAAAGAGAGTCTGACCTGGAAACTGAGAATGTCATGGGAAGGCGCACGATACGTGATCCAGTAATTAATGAAGGGTGTTGCCTCCCATCCCGATTCTGTGGGTAAGGCCCAGAGTGGTCTGACTTCACCTTCTAACAAAGTGCTGCAGAACCATAATTTCATCTGTTCAGATCTCGTGTTGAATCAGGCCCAGGCTCTCCTTTAAGTGGACTGCAAAACTGCACTAACTGAGCTCCTGCTAGGTTTACATGGGAGTACTCTTAGCTTGAGTTCCTTGTCGCTAGGGGACTGTGCCCAACATTGCACCTGACACACTGCAGGAGAACCAGAAATCTGTGCTGTTGGGAGGAGATTGGTGAATCAGGTTTTTCAGAGTATCCTATCCTGAGGCCACTCCAGAGGGAAGTGGTTCTCCCGTCGCCTAATGCATCCAGTTCTTTTTGAGGCTGGGATGCAACTTGACCTTCTTCCAGAGATGAAAGGAAAGGCATTCATTATTCATCTGAGATTTGCCTTGCAGTGTTCAACACAAATTTGGTTTCTAAGGAAAGGCTAGCAAAGCATTGACACAGGGAAGATTATTCTTAGGTATTCTCTGATGGCCATAGACTGAGCAAGGTTCTTGGATAGTTACTCTAGCCATGAAACTAGTCACTGGACAACATTCTTAGTGGCAAGAAATACACCTATCAACCCAAAGAAGGTTTGATAAAGGCCAGGGAGTAGGGCTAACAGAAATGTAATGCCCACTGGGCTGGCACTCTCTACTAACTCCAAACATTTCAGTGCCTTACAATATGTAAAATTTGTGATTTCTTCTTGCTTTTGCTTATTTTTTTAAAATGTCAATCTGAAGGCAGAATATTTGTGATCATCATTTGTGTCTACAAAATGTGATATTTCTACTCGCTTTGAAATCAGTTTGGAGCTGGAGGATGCTCATTGAACATTGAAGGGCAGGCAGCCAGGGCAGAGTGTTGGGAGAAAGGCGGGAAGGAATAAGTGAGTGAGCCACACTTGTGCTCTGGATTTAGCCTGCATGGAGTGCAACAGGTTCTGCTTGGAGCCAGCTGGGTAACCTGGTCACATCCATTGACTTCTAACTCTTGAGTATGCTCACTTTTAAAATGAGATAGTATCTACTTTTTAGGGGTTTTGAGAGTTTGAATGAGTAAATGCATAAAAATGTCTGATAGACCAACTCAATAAATGTTAGTTTTTTAATACAATGAGGCATAAAGTTCATGACTTCCAGTGATTTTCTCCTTTGCATACAGTTCTATCTCCCTAGACTTTGACATGAGTCCTCATCAATTAATATGCTTTCCTCAGGGCAGAGAGAGCCACACACACTGAAATCCCACCAAACAGGCAGCCTAGATACAGCCTCCTCAGGGGTGCCCCTAGTGCTGTTGTCCAGCTGCCTGGAGGTGCTGGTTTCCCCTCTCTTGCTAGGGGTCTTAGGCCTCAGTCATAATTCTCACCTGGCTGACCTTCTCTTGCCAGAACAGGACCAGATTCTCCTTTCCTCTGTGTATACATATTTTCTTCCTGAAGGAGAGAGCATATTTGCCTGCGAACGGGGCCTTCATTAGCCTGTCTTCCTAGGAAGTTTACCTTGTGGTAGAAGAGAGATGGGCTGGCAAGGCAGGGAAGGGGCAACGTGGCTGACATCTGCCCATTCACCTTTAGGGTCAGATGTTGGTGCTTCTCAACCCCCTGATAAGTAGCATTGTTCTGCAAACGAAGAGACTTTATTTTTACCTTTTGCAAAGACATTGCTGTTTGTTTCCCAAGGTTAGGTATCCTCAGAAGGAGAGTATATTTTCTAAAATTTTTGGCATGAGGTAGAGTGATACTAAAACCACAGCACGTTTAATCCAGCTACTGAGTAGCATTCCTGAAACAGTGGATGTGCATGGACAGTCTGGAGATGCGAGGCAGGACCTGCTGTGGAAGGTCGGGAGGACCTCCCCGCACCGTCACCACTGATGAGGGCTGGGCTTCCGGTGCCTGCATGTGGTTAACGTGTGGGCACTGCGTGTGCCAGGCCAGGTTCTCAGGGCCATGTATCATAAATCACTTAGTCCTCAAGACAACTAAATTCTGAGGTAGATGCTATTTTTAGCTTCATTTACAGAGGAGGGAACCTGATATACATAGAAGCTAAGTAAATTTCCCCAGGTCAAATAGTAAGTGGTAGAATCAGTAAAAAAAATCCCGCCCCAGAGTCTTTTGTCTTAACCATGACTCTACACTGCTAGAGGAATTAGTCCTACTTGAGAATCTCAACAAGGGGCTGGAGTAATCCAATGTAAATTCAGTATTTCTCTTCGGGCTTTTAAAATACTTAATTTTCTGTAGGATCCAGGCACAAGTAGCACTTTCATCTCAACAAGAGCAAACTGCCTATATGGGCTCCATGGTGGCTCAACATTTTCCATGAAGTGACCTCTGCCCTCCAGTAGAGCTGCACCCGGTTACTGGTCACATTCTCCAAAAGAAGACCCTGAGATGGGGTTTGGCATGCAGGTTATTTATCAGGTTTCCCTACAGAGGGGGAGTGGACACAGGAAGTCAAGCTGCCGTGCAGGCCTGATGGCCTCACCCAACCACATGTGGCCTGGTGGAGCATATATGGTCTCGTAGTTGTCCTGTGGTGGGCTGGAAGAGCAATCTTAGTCACTGAGACAGTAACCTATATCTTGTCCACATGACTTGACCACAGGAGCTGTTTCTATGTCATCAGTGGGTGGGTGTGCTTTGCAGGGTCCATCCCTATTCCCTGCCACTGTTACCCAAAGCTGGCTCTGGCCACTGACCATTTCAACTGCTCAGTGTGCAAAACCTCTCTCTGTTTCCTTTCAGGTTGGAAAGCTTATCCAAGAAGCAGCTGGAAGAAGTAATTTGAAGCGAGTAACTCTGGAACTTGGAGGGAAAAGCCCCAATATTATTTTTGCAGATGCTGATTGTAAGTCAGCCACAGACCTTATACGTGTTTCTACTCATAGCCCTCCGATGCTCTCTCATGTCTCCACTTTTGACAAGACACTGAGAAAAAGATCTTTGAAGCTAAGAGGCATTCAAGAAGAATCTAGACCCTTCCTTCTAAGGGGAAAATAGTTTAATACTGGGAAGGAGCATTTATCAATGGGGAACTGAATACTGTTTGTTTTCTAGACACTAATAAGCTATTTGACTGTGAGATGTTGTAGAAAAGGTAGAAGGGGTGAAGGCTTGCTCAGTGCTGCTTAGTGGGAGGACCAATGCTCTAAGCTTCTGAGCACCTGAACTAGAACCTCCCTGCTTAGATTCAAGAAGTCAGAAACTTCTCAAGTGTGCCTGGTGGCTTTAGAGATCATTAAAAACATTCTGTTTCACTAGGCCTGCCAACATGTTTCCAAACCCACAACCCCTTCCCTGTTCAGTTGTCCCAACCCCTTTCTGTTGCTCCCATGATTTTCAGTCAGGATGACAGCACACCACGGTCAGTTCTGTATGAGTAGACCCAAGTTGGAGGTGATTACACCTTGGCAGCAGGAGCTTAGGGCGGCGTGAAGCACTAACCTAGGAAATCCCACATCTCCAGACAGAATGCTGTCGAGGTGACTCTGTACAGGTCTGGTCTCTGTTTTGAAAAACTTTCCAGGGAATGAAATTCCAAAATCTTCTCAGTCACCCTTTTCCTTCTGTACATCCTGCCAGGCAGAGCTGCTTCCCCAGTTCATCACTGGAGAGAACGGAGAGCAGATCGCCTGAATTGCAGCCCCAGCTTGGCCTTTGCAGAGTCCAGCTTCAGCTTTATACTAGATGTCAGGGGGTCAGAATTCTCACAGCTAATCCTCCTGAGGAGGCGGCACTTCGCCGACATGATGTCGATGGATTGATTCAGTCATTTAGAAGCTAGCACACACCAGATTTAATACTGTCTTAAAGGAGAAGAGATCAAAAGGAAAGAGTTATCATGAACTGTTATACAATTCCATGTAAATTTAGAGGAAATGTGATGTCTTCAAAGAAAAGCCATTGCTGTTACAGTTTAATTCACCAAAATACTAATTAAACACAACAGGCACAAGGCCCTATAGATTCGGGGTGGGTATTGGCAGTCACAGGGCAAATGCCGGTATAACTATGTTTGTATGTCTGGATGTTACACCGTGCTTAAAAAAACCCAAAAACTATACATTAAAATGTTGATTTCTGTTTTCCCTTAAAATTGGAACTCTGGCAAGCATGGACTTACATCCATGCATAGCAACAGCCAAATGTAGTGGCTTCCCTTCCGCAAGTCCCTTGCTTTGTTTCACTGCTTGGCAGATTCCTACCGTTACGTTGTCTGCCCAGCCCCGTTCAGTACTGGGGTTTGAGACTCCTGATACAGATCACATGCTCCAGTCCCTTTTTTATAGAAGAAAAGGACTCAAGGAAGTGAAGGTGTCCAAGTTAATATAGTGAATAACGTCAGGGTCTCTCAGAACCAGAACTAAGTTGCGTTCCCAGCCCAGTGCGCGTCACTGTTGCTCACCGTATGCTCTGCGGTCGGCCCGGCATCGTCCCTGGGGCTGTGGAGAGGCGAGGTGGCGGCGCCCCGGGCAGGCCCCTCCGCAGATGAGGCAGCACTGAGAGCGTGACTGTTCCTTCTTGCAGTGGACTATGCGGTGGAGCAGGCCCACCAGGGAGTGTTCTTCAACCAAGGCCAGTGCTGCACTGCGGGCTCTCGCATCTTCGTGGAGGAGTCCATCTACGAGGAGTTTGTGAGAAGGAGCGTGGAGCGGGCCAAGAGGCGCATTGTGGGGAGCCCCTTTGATCCCACTACTGAGCAGGGACCCCAGGTAGAGAGATCATCAGTGGTCCCTGTCTGTACTTAATCCCTGGTGAGCACAGAAACTGGTCACTCTAGCGGGACTCAACAAAGCTCCGTCTCCCTTTTCCCGCTGCCTTCTTACTCTTCTGCCTCGTTTTCACTGCTGGAAGTGTGGCCAGTGAGGCAGTATTTATGTCTTAGATTCTCTTTCCATTTCTAAATTTTATTTCTAAAAAACTAAAGGATTAGGGTTGCCTTAAGGATACTCTGAAATTTGAGGGTAAGTTGGAGTCCCTCAGCTCTAAAGAAAGACCTAGTCGTGACAAGATGGATCATGACATGAGAACCCAGTCCTAGCCCTAACCACTTCAAATATCCCAACAGATGCCACAGCCAGGGAGGCCAGGCATCTCTCATTCTCAGAAGCCATTTATCTTTTTTCCAGCTTCACAGGATTCTCTCCACCACCCTGACCTACTTGGGGAGATCATTTGTAGATTGTGAATGTGTAGGACACAAAGACTGTATGGTTGTCTCTTGTTCTTAGTGTCTCCTGCACTGTGGTAGGATGGGGAGGCCACTGAAGTCCCCACAGCCTGCACTCTTTAGTGCTGCAGGCGGTCCACAATCACCAAGGCATATTTCCAGATGGAATTCTGGTTTTAAACTGTAGAAAGAACCTCAGAATTTTTAAGGAAATAGGTGGACCAGATCTCATCTGGGTCACCAGAGCCTGGGTTTTTCTAATAAGAAACAACACCTCCTAAGTTTTGGGGCCATTTGAGAGAATATTGATGTTCCAGCTGAGCATGTCAAACTCAAGTGAATGCAGGTTTTTATATTATTTACCATAATAATTGAGTGATAAGCTTATAACTTTTGGAAAACAAGACTGATCTTGTTTTATGGAGTAGGAAGCTAGCCCTCACTCTTTAAACTCAATCCTTTTCTCTAAAACTGTAATAGTTCCATTAAAAATTTACCATAATAAGATTTGCTGTACTATGTAAAGAGGTTGTGTATTAGCTCACCTATTGTTTTCATCTCTTTAGTATCAGTACAACTTGTTAAACTCTTCACTTGGCTATAGAAGTCCATTTTCCCCCATACAATGGATAATCAGTTCACCAGTGTGTCCATCATTTAGAAATGTTTAAATCTTAAACTGGTATTTCTGATTCAGCGGTCTCATCAGAGCCATTCATGTATTGGAATTCCTGATGTATTCGTTTAAATCATGCAGAACTGCCATTTTTCATGGATCAAAAATGTTTAAAAATAGTATTTAATATGATTTGACTAGGTATGATGAAGCTGTAAAAGATCAAAATGATTCTTGAGAATGCACTTATTTCTGTTTTCATGGAAGATTTTAGTGGGAGTCACTTGGAAATTTTTTCTGTAGATTGATAAGAAGCAGTACAACAAGATCCTGGAACTCATCCAGAGTGGTGTGGCCGAGGGCGCCAAGTTGGAGTGTGGTGGCAAAGGGCTGGGCAGGAAGGGGTTTTTCATCGAGCCCACGGTGTTTTCTAATGTCACTGATGACATGCGGATCGCTAAGGAGGAGGTATCCAATACGGGATTCTAACAAAAGCAACTCTTTCTTGGGGTGGTTTCCAGGGCATTCAGTAAATGATAGTAGAGTTTACGTGCTTTATATTTTATATACATTGTACTATAGCAGTAAACGTGACTTTGAAAATCTGTTTCAAGGAAAAAAGTAAAAAGGCAGGGAAGCTAGGTGACATGCTGCATGGTTGCAGTTGTTGTCAACAGAACAATTGGAATAGCCAGTTGCTGGGTCACCAGGCTGTTAACCAGGAAAGGTATCCAGCCATCCTCACATTTATGCAGCAGAGGGACCCTGAGGGTCAGCCAGCAGCCAGAGCAGTGCCTCCTTGGTTCTGCCTGGGCTCAGAGACGCAGCTGTAGTACACACAGTGGGACCAAGTGATGCCAGGGAGGGTGGGGCATGGGTTATCAAACACACTCTAAGGATAGACTCCTGTGTAATCTTACTCTAGGGAAGTTTGGGATATTTCACAGATTTGTGCTGCTAAACTTAAAACATCATTTAAATAACGAAGGCAGAGAACACTTTGAAATGTGGGAAGCAGGCAAAAGAACGGCAAAGCAACTGTGTTGGGTCAAACTATTTTGTTGCAGATCTTTGGCCCTGTTCAGGAAATTCTGAGGTTTAAGACTATGGATGAAGTTATCGAAAGAGCTAATAACTCCGACTTCGGACTTGTAGCCGCTGTGTTTACCAATGACATCAACAAGGCCCTCACAGTGTCTTCTGCAATGCAAGCTGGGACTGTTTGGTAAGATCATTCTGTGTCATTGTTCTGGCCATAACACATTCCACTGGTGGAGTAGAGGCCTTGCCATTCTCCAGAGCCTGGGTGGTGTCCTCTGGAAGGATGGGGAAGACCGAAAGCAGCCAGACTTCACCCTGAGAGGGATGCAGTCTTTACTGGCTAGATCAGGAAATCAAAGTAAATCTTAAATTACAAATTTTTTATCTGGAATAAAAATAATAAAAATAAAACTTACAAATAAGGTATCATGCCTGTAGGATTATTTTTGTGCAAGCAGAATTCACACTAACAGTGCTGTTTTCTCCTTTCAGGATCAATTGTTACAATGCCTTAAATGCCCAGAGCCCCTTTGGGGGATTCAAGATGTCTGGAAATGGGAGAGAAATGTAAGTGTCCAAAGTTGCTGGTGTCTGCAGAGAAACAGGGGTGTGAGCAGTAGCACAGAGGAGTACTTTCATTCTCTATTCATTAAACAAGCATTCGGTTGAACATATACCACTATGAGCTAAGCACTGTGCTGCACGTTACAAAGATGAGTCACCACAATTCTCTCACCTGAGGCGAGGATGGGGAGAAATTAATGTTCCCATAATTCCATATAATAAGGGCTGTTTAGAGAAGTGTGTCAAACATCTTATAAGTACAGAGGCAGAACCAATTAATTTTGCCTGATGGGGTCAGAGAAGATGTCACAGAGGAAATAGCATATCAGTTTCTTAGGAGCAGGCTTTCCAGGCAGAGGGAATAGTGAGAACAAAGGCGTGAAGGCACAACAAACGTAGAATGGTCAGGGAACAAAGTAGAGTTTGGTGTTTAAACAAAGGTCTGCAGCTGCTAGCCCAGAGATAAAGCTGGCCTGCACAAATGTCTTGTTCTGCCTCACAACATTAAAAAATTTTTACCCGCCATTCAAAAATGAGGGGGGCTCTAAGTAAATATAGATTCCTTGCATATTTGCATCCCCCTATAGCAGAACTGCTGCAGCTATGAGCTCTGCTGTTCACCATTCTCCCCACCCCTCCTGTTGCTTTTGGGACCTGAATAGTGGCTGTCATTCATTTTACACACACCTGATTCACTCACTTAGGTCACCTGCTCAGCACCTATAGGTTCTTTGAGTCTGGGAATGCAGTGTTAGGGCATAAGATGAGCAAGAGATTTAAACCCAACCTCAGAGAGTTTTAGGGGGCATTCTGTGGTAGCTGAGATCTTTAAGACCAAGATTCCTGGCATAGAGGATGGTTGGGCAGAGATTATAGGAAGAAGACCCACTAGGAGGAATCTGCAATAACAGTACTGATAACATTAATTAAATGCCTGACCCATGTTTGGCTTTATGCTAACTTCTCTCCTAACATTGCCTGATTTGATTTTCACAATAATTCTATAGGATAGATACTTAACCTTATGTTACAAATAGTTCAGAGGAGGAACTAGGGTTAGAGGGGTTACATAGCTTGCCCAAGCCACACAGCCAGTAAGTGGCGGATCTGAGATTTGAACCTAGGTTTCAGTGGCTCCAAATGTACTTAGTTCCCCAAGGAATATCCAGCCGAGGAAGCATGGTGCCAGGCATAAGGACTCTAGAGGCACAAGACCAGAGCCAGTCCTGCGATGCTAAGGATCTGAATAATGGGACTGAGCAGAGGAAATTTAGGCTCAAGAGGGATTTTATTTGCAGGCTTCATATGTAAATAGACTTTTCGAGTGGCATTCAGAGAACTAATGATAGCCACGGTCTTCATGAGCTGACACCCACCTGCTCAATAAAAAATGTTTCTGTATTTTGAAAGGAGCTGGATCCATGTTTTCTAAATATTGTGACACAAGAGGAAACAGCTTCCATGCCCTTTCCCTCTGCCATTACTGAATGTGTCTTTGGTTGTTTTTTTGTTTGTTTGTGTTTTTTGAGCAAATGCTTAAATCTGCTAATAAGCATTGAGCATATACTGTGTGCAAAGCATGATGCTTGGTCTTTGGGGGAAGATGCAGCTAATTATGGTACTTAAAAATAAATAAATAAATAAATAAATAAATAAATAAATAAATAAATAATCCTGTTGGCTAAATGAAATATACAACATTGAAAGAATCAGGAGAATTCCAGGAAAGACTGCTGAGTGATAGAGGAGTTCAGGAATGGGAGAGATCACTGAGCTGGAAAATTCTGAAAAACCTTCGAATGTGCTCTAACATAGGGATTGGAATTGGCATTTAAAGGAGAGAAACATTTAGGTAGATGGGGAGAGGGAAACACTTTTTCAGGGTTGATGGGGAAAGCAAGGTGGCAGCGTGAGAGGAGAGGGTAAAGGCTTTGTGGGAGAAATAAGTGTGGTGCTGGGGGAAAAGCGCAGTGAACCATAAGACTAACACAGAGGCTCTGCGTGCTTTAGATACTTCAGCTGGTCATTTCTAGCCTCCAGCCATTAAACTGTAAAGCAGGTGTAGCTTTGAGGCAAAGAGCAGAGTTCGTAGAATCACACTGCTCAGATGTTTATCCTGGCTGTAGCTCTTAATACCTGTGCAACCTTGGCAAATTACTTAAACTTACTAAGCCTCAGTTTCCTAATCTGTAAAGTGGGAATAATTATCGTACCTGCCCAAAGGGTTGCTGTGAGGATTAAATGTTAGGATTAAGTATGCCAAACACCCAACAGAGTGCCTGGAGAACCTTCTGAAAATATTAGCTGCTATCATTGTTATTGATCAAGCACTATAGGTGAGTGTTATGTAGGTGGTCATTCTTTTCCTTATAAACATCTTACTTTGGAAGTGTGGCTGAATTTTTCCTAAATTCTAGCTAGTATCACCAACTTCTGTTCTGTCTCTGTAATGTCAGGGAGGAACCTCTGCTGCTTGAACCTTTGCTCTGGCTTTCAGTACCTCTCATTTGCTTTGCAGCCAGAACCCGTAGCTAGTCCAGATCCTTTTTTCTCAGTTATTGGTATTCCTATACTCCAGCTATTTATTCTTAACTGGCACGTGGCCTTACTTTCTGTTTCCACTTGTCAAGCTGCATTCAGCTTGTCATTTCACTTCCTGCCTCTGGGTTTGTGCTCCCAGAGGCTCTGAAAGGTTGGAGCAGTCACTGGTTCTGGGAATGCTGGTCACATCGATTTTCCTGTTACAGATCATTAACAGGGTGAATCACGGGCATGAAATAAACTTGTAATAAATAAGCACTGGATGATGGCTCCTAATCCCAGGCTCACCATGGACCCTCCTCATGGTCAAGCTTCCTGCCGGGATTCAGGCTGTAACATTGTCCAGGTCCAGTCTGTTCCTATCAGAAGCATTCTCCTTGCTAGAAAGATGATCCAGGAGACAATCTGGCTGTGTCAGAACCACCCAGATCAGTGGCCCAAGATACTGAAGAACAGCCTCTCGACTCGTCTCATAGGTGCTATAGTGATTTGACCTTCCCAGTGCAGTTAAAAAATAATCAGGAAACAGTGCCCTTTGATGAGACTCACTTCATCTTGTTTTAATTATATGCTTCTTTGTCCCCACTTGCCCCTAAAACATGCTTTTTCTTTCTTAACCAACCTAGAGTGGTAGGAAACACTTCATATAAAAGAACCTGACTTGTCCGTCCGCCCCCCCCACCCCCCACGCTCTTCTCATTTAATACAGTCCCAGAAACTCCCCTTAACCTTGCATGTGGAAGGAATTGTTTAGCTCATGGCTGCAAACTCCATGCAGCTTTGATCCCTGACATCTTGCCCACCTCTAAGAGGAACAGAGACAGGAGGTAGCACCTTCTGGAAACAAGCTCCATGGAGGGCTGGGGAGCCACTGAGTTCTCCCCCAAGGAGAGCTGTGGAGAAGGCCGCACTCTGCAGGTTACTTGATGGGCTGGCCTCTGACTTTTGGGTCAGAGACTTGGGCTGAGTTTCTCTCAGTTCTACCTGTTCGGCGAACTCCATCTGACTCACTTGTGCTGTCCTTTCCCTTCCTAGTTTAGGCTTCCCTGAGACACAGGGTCCTAGAGCCCAAGCTATAAAATATGTGTCACAGTCAAGGGAATGGAAAGAAAGCTGTGAACCTCAGCATTTTACAAACTAAGGACACAAGCTTTGAAGATGAGAAACGTTATTAGGATGCTCTACATGAGGGCTCCTCAAGTTCATGGATGTGCACACATGCTTTGTGCATGTATGCTTCCACACAGCATGCTCATGCACAGAAAACCTCTGCAGTCTGGAGGAGGGGCATGCTGAGCATGCCTACCTGGGGACCCACTTCCAGAGATTCTGGTTTAGTAGATCTGGGCCAGAGCCCAGGATCTGCATTTTTAACAAGCCTCTGGAATGATTCTGATGCAGGTGGTCTGGGGACCCTGCTCTGAGGAATGCTGTTGTGAGCCAGAGAATAAGGCAGGGAAATATATGCCCTAAGCAGAAAGCCCTGTTTATTTAATGAATGAGTCTAGCTGATTTCTTAAAATGGCTGGCTGAGAGACACCAAACTGACCTCTTACTTTATCTATAGGTATGCCAAATCTAGTTCATCTTAGGGAATATAGCCTGGTCTGGCTGAGAAACAGGAATGCAGGCTCGCTCCTAAGTTCACCTGTGCCCTGACACATGGTCCAGCTATGAAGGTGACCACACAGAGACTGGGATACCTTAAGAGCAATGTGTCTGCCTTTTATGCAGTAGTGAAGTTCTACCTTCATTGTGGAACTGTCTGTCCCATAGAATTTAATTGGATTACTTAGCATTTAATTAGATTTTAGAGAAAGACTGTGGAACGAGAAGGCAAACAGGCTAAAGATGGAACCTCAGGTTTTTGGAGACCTCACAGCGGGATTCTCAAAGGGTGGGCCAGGTAACCACCTGATCACAGTATCCTGGGTCCCCCCCAGGCCCAGGAAAATAGTCTTTGGTGAGGTGGTCAGGAATCTACAACTGAAGCCAGCTTCGTGGGGGACACTTATGTGTACTCAACTTAAGGAGCTACTTCCTGAGAGGTGACTAGGTACCAGGAGGATGGGTATGACTTTGCTGGAGTCATACAGTGAATGGCAGAGCCAAGTGGAATTCCTATCTGCTGACCCCAGCTCCAGTGTTCTTCCTGTGGTTTATCCATTGCCCTGGGACCTCTCATGGGCCTTCTTTGAGGCCCTGCGCCCATGGGCAGTGCTGCTTTTTATGGCAGATTTGAGTCCACTCCTCAGTCTTGGAGCAGACTGTGTGCGGACTGTGGCAGCAGATGGCTGCCTGGGACACGGACGAAGAACACGTCTGGTCCAGCAGGATTTCCATTGCTTTGCGCACCAAAGATTACGGGATCCAACAGCCACCCTCAGAAGCAACCATGCTGCTCTCTGTAGACTTCTGACCCTGTAGACGTGCATTTCTTACCACCTGGTCAGAGATCTGAGCGAGAGGACAGTGGTCAGGGTCTGTCTGTCCTAAGGGCGTGCACAAGCCAGGAAACGAGGGAGTGACCTCGATTCAAACAGGAGGCAGATGATGTCTGTGATGAAGAGACACATTCAGATTGCCTAAGGGCAGAAAAAGGTTGAGAGAGCAGAGCTGAGCTGGTAATGGAGACCCAGAGCCTGGGTATAGCTAATGAGGAAACCATATACCAAGTGGGGCAACCCCAAGTTTATTCTTCCCATTCCTGTAAACGAGTGGCCAGTGCAGATAAGAGCAGCACGCTGGCCGCAGTCTTTCCTTGGCTCCCTCTGATGTCCGGGGACAGTGGCAGCAGGCATGTCAGCTCAGGTGGCTTTGTGTAGGGACTCGAGGATTTCCAGAATGAATTCAGTAACTTTTTAGCTTTGATACAGGACTGTTTTTAAAGACAGCCTTTCTTAATCCATTCTTCTTCAGATATACCCCTAAGTGTTCTTTTCCTTTTTCTAGCAGAAATGGTATGTCAGCAGGGTAGAACTAGGGAAGTAAGGATGGGAGGAAGCCTGTCTCCCCCCCTCCCCCCCACAGTTACCAAGTGCTGTCTTTGAGCTTGATGCTGAGGGCTGTACACTAGGTTGGGTGGTGGGCAAGAAACTCGGTCAGTGAGATAAAAGCCCATGGGGGAGTCAGATGCTCAAGCAGCCCTCCCGTTGACAGGCTGTGGTAGAGGTGGGTCTAGGGCTCTGTAAACACAGAGCAGGAGGGGCAGCTGCTCCTGCTGAAAGCTTCAGGAAAAACTTCAAGGAGGCGTGACTTTACAAAGAATAGAAGGGGAAACATTCAAGTATTTTAAAGAAAAAATAGAACATGCTTGATTTTACAGTGAAATAGGGAAAAGAAAAAAAGGCAATAAAAAGAGGTAAAAATGAGAGGGGCTAGAGAAGAAAAGTGAAGAAAAATAGCATCATAGCCACAGGCTTTACTCCACCCCAGCAGCCTTAAAGCTGTGGTTGGAAAATGCCTCTGAGAGTGTCCAGAGGGCTGGGAAGGGCTGCCTCAGTCTCCCGTTGCCACCTGAACAGGTGACCCAGCTCCCATCCTTCCCTCCCAGTCCAACCACCTGCAGGCTCCTCAGAGGCTGGGGCCAATTATTTAGTTTCTCCTTCGCCTAACCCAGAACACTGCTGCCCATAGTAATAGCTCAGTTATGTTTGTTTACCAGATGAATGGCCAAGATCCCAGAGGCCTCTGTGAGCCAGGAAGGAGAGTGGCCAAAGGAGAGTCTGGGACTGGGGTCGGAGGACAGCTTACTACCACTTCCCGATTCTTTTTTAGTCAGTTACTATGATTACTGTGAGGGCTGCGGACAGTGTTTATTCAGGATCATGGTTTTAAGGTATTTCAGGGGCTTTGTGCTCTGCCCTTTTAGGCCTTTGGGGGTTCATTTCCATTTATTACATCTAAGGACCAATGAGAAAGAATTTAGAATCCCAACCCGAGGGGCCCTTAGCCTGGGAATCTCATGGTCCTCTCCCAGTTAGAGTGGACCAGCTCTCTGGGAGAGCGATCGGAGGAGACGTGTCCTGGGTGTCCAGTGGCAGGAAGGAGGTTTTTGAAGAGGAGAGCAGGCTGTGGTCCTGAAGAGCCAGGATGCCAGTGGAAGAAACACAGCCCAGGCGTTAGAGACCTGGGTCTGCTGCTGACTATGGTGCCCACCCAGGAGCACGGCCGGCCTCTGTGGTGACTGCTGGCCAAGGTGATCCTCCAGGCCTATTTTACTGCGTAGCTGGGAATTGTGGCCTTTCTGTATAATATTGTGGAGACAGATTATCCTTTGCCGTTAGCAGTGACTGCTCACGGATGACGACTTTCCCAGCCCTCACATGGAGGCTGGGCTTCCATTAGGAATTCTTACACAGACCTCTGGCCTGCTGCTAGCAGGTGGTACACTGCACCTTCCCAGGTCGGGCTGCCCGGGCTTCCGGTGTTTGACGCTGCCCATTTGTGCTTTTCAGGGGAGAGTTCGGCTTGCGGGAGTACTCTGAAGTCAAGACTGTGACAGTCAAGATCCCCCAGAAGAATTCCTAAGATGGCCAAGGAGGAAGGTGAAGGCCACCTGCACGACCCCCCTCTCTGCTTTCCCTGTGGGGCCCAGCTCTCAGGAATCAACGTTGATACTCGGTCCTTATTTAAAGATTTAAATAACCTGTAGGCCAGACGGGTCACTGCATCCCTAAAGCAGACCAGCAGGCAGTTTCTTGGCACTCTGTGAGGGATCACCTAACGATACCAAATACTGGGGAGGGTGGGGTGGAGGTAAGAGGGGTAACTGTCGGCACACCCAGAATGTCTCTGTCATGGGGCTGAATAGGGCGCTGGATTATTTGATGCCTTTTGTCACAAAGATCTTGCCTCTCCAGGAAAGGTAGCCTTTCCACCCTGCGCCTGCTCCTCCAAGGAGATCTCAGCTGAGCTCATTTGGGGCAGATGTTTGGGCCAGGAACAATTTTCCAAGGTTTTGCAGCCAAATTACCATTTCGTGTTATCCATTCCTTCAAAGCAAAACATGAAATGGTTTTAGAGCCAGGCCAGACTGACAATGCCAGAAGCTGGTACACTGCAGATATACTGGGGAGGAAGAACTTGGGATGTTCCAGACCCAGCTTGGTGTTCTGACATCCATAGTAATATGAGTGAAAGATCAGGAAGGTGGGACGCAGAGATTGTGTGCAGTTCACGGCTTCTGAGCTTGCAGCATGGTTTTGGGGGTGGGTGCGCATGTGCATTTAACTCCTTTCTGGTTGTTCCAGAATAAGGCAGGGAGTGGGTTTTGGTAGATTAACAAAGTCTTCTCCAAAGTTTGTCTTAAAAATCAACCAAAACAATCTGAGTAGGCTCGGGAATTTGGATAAAGCTAATGTGGGGTGCCTTGCAGAAATAATTTTGTTTCCAATACTGGTTGACAATTTTTAACTGAGTGACTTATCTCTGCAGTTGGATCTACAGCTTCTTCTGCCTCCCCAGCCCCCACTGCACCAACAGCTGCTACCTTCAGTGCTATGGGTGTTACTTTGGCCTGTCATGCCTTAAAATGCCCTAATTCCACTGGCAGGAACCTTGGAAAATCTGGCCAAGCCTGGCGGTTTTCTTTTCCGTTTGCATGGTTCCAGTGTGCCACGATTGCCACGCTACACCAGAGCTCCTCTGCCACATGCAGTGGCCCCTCCATGCACCGTTCCTGCCTCTCAGGCTCCCGAGGCGGAGGTGAGAAGCAGGCTGGCTCCCTCTCCTCCAGCCACACACTCCTCTTCTTCCCAGTGAGCCCGGCAGTGTGATGTGAGCAATGTCAGCTCTTTCCTTCTTCCCTCTCTCCAGCTGCCAAATCCAATCCTGTCTCTAACCTAGATGAGGATCATTTATTTAAAAGTACCAAACATAACCTAGAGTATATGGAATATGGGCAACACATATTAGCCTCTGTATTTAACTGTTTCTGCTTTCTAACCACACCGGTTTTCTTGCTCTAACCCTTGTCTGTTCACGATGTTTTAAAGAAATCTCTACTTGCTGTTATTTACAAACGACAGTGCATTCAGTGGCCTGATGCCGTGAGAGATGTCACGTTTCTGAGTTCTTCCACATGAATGTCATGCTCTCCCCTTATAGCGTGTGTCCAAGTGAACATACCCATTTACCAGATAGTTACCTTCGAACTGCAATATAGAATGTGAAAATGAAGATTTATTTCTTTTAATTTACTTAAAAAGAATCCTCTGTGCTAGCAATAAAGCATTTATATTGTGTACTCCTCGGCACTCTGGCTGTGTTTATAAGTCTGTGTCACACAACGTACATTTGAGTCCATTTTATCAGCTGCGCTGCTCTCTCTGGTAACTGAGCAGAGTCCGGGAGGGTTTTCTTGCAGAAGGCAGCAGGTAGACAAGACCTTGTTTTCTGACACTATTTAGAATCTGCCTGTGCATATAGCTTTATGTGCCAAACAAGTATAACCATCTATGAAACACATGGAATGACAATTTTCATTCAAAATAACCTCTGTGAAAGCTGAAATGTGGAGGAGTTTTGGGGGCCCTGTTCTCACAAGCACAGGCTACATGGTGAGAGCCCACGTTGCCCATGGGGCACTTAGCAGTAGCTGCATTTTTATTTACCAAAGCAAAATGAAGTCAAAGCTGACAACCTGACACAATGTTTTTGCAGCTGTAAAAAGGAAGCTGTCAGGGGTGGCTCTATGACCAGCTAGAGCTTGTTTGCTCTGTATTCTCAGAGTTGAGTTTTTGGGGAGTGGTGTCCACCTATCGCCACCCAAGTCTGGGTCCAGTGAGATAAACACAAAAACTGATGACTTGGCCACAGGGGAAACCAGGCCTGGAGAGACGTGTTGCGTGGCTGAATTCGGTGCCCTGGCTGCCGTAGCTCGTCCCTGGGAGGAACCGGTGGTGTGGGCGAGAGTGCAGTTCCCGGGCGCGGGGTTGAACTCAGTATATGATAGACTTCCTGCCCATCTCCCTCATGTTCAGGAAGGAAATGAGAAGGAGATGGGCACAGACTAGTCATTTGCAAGTCCCGTGGACAGGTACCCTTATAGAGCTCGTTTGTAGCAGGAATTGGAATAAGATCGACATACTTTGTTCTTCAAAACATAAAGTTCCTCAGACTTCATCCCTCCATGATTTGAAGGCGGCGTTATAGAAGTCATTAATGAAACACAGAGACACTCGGCAGTCATTTGTCACCAGCACTACATAGTTATGGTCTCTATATTTCTTTTTCTGTTAACCCCTGAGATTTCCATTGTACCTTTTCCTCCAAAACACCCTCAGTGCGTTCATATTGATAATTTCATTCTTTTTTCATGACATTTTAGTTAATAAAGGACAAGAGTATTATAATGTAGGGGCTAAAGAACAGAAAGAAAGAGAGAGTTCACTGGACTATGTAGGAAAACAGGAAGGCCCCCAAGAAAAGAGGACATCCAAAGAGAAGCTAGTAGAAGAGGTGGGTTTCAAACTGGCAGGAATGTCATTTCAATAGGCCAGGGAGCAAGAAGAAAGCTGCAAAGCTGCAGAGGTGAGGCCAAGGCATCCTTGTGTGACGTTGAGACGACGGGCCAGAGCAGGCCTCGCGTGCTGGCAGTTGGCCGGCTCACAGAGGACCTCGGGGGCATCCACTGTTCCTCGGCCATGTCACAGAAAGTAGGGTGTCTCCAGTGCTGCTTGAGCGGGACACTGATGAAGCAGTGGGTAGAGCACGTTGGTGTGGAGCAGAGCGGAGGGGAGGCGAAACAGACCGATTTATGAGCTGAGCTTGGTGTCATGCTTACTTGGGTTGTGGGGATGGAGAGGAAGGAAACAACCCAGTGGAGAAATCTCCAGAACCTGAGGAGTGAATGTGAAAGGCTGAAAAGTAAACGAGAAAGCTTTCAGGCCCTGCCGAGTAAGGAGATGGCAGCACCACCGCCCAGAAGTTGAAACATGGAACAAAGTTTCGGGGAAAGAATCTCTCCTGCAGGCTTTGGACATGGAAATTTTGGGGTGATAAAGAGGTATCCAGACAGAAGTCTCAGCAGGCATTTGGAGACAGGGCATTGGAACCTGGCTTAGGTGACAGGACTGTGGTATGAACACAAAAGTGATGGCTCTATGTACGGAGAATGCAAGAATAAAAACCAAACCGGGGCCAGGGAGACGGAGCTGAGCAAAAGAAACGGAGGCTATAGTGAGAAATAGGAGATCGCGCCAGGCGTGCCCCGCAGAAACCCAGGGGGAGCTCAAGGAAGGCAGGCAGCAAAGAGGAGACAGGAGGAGGACTGGAGACCTCGAATCAGGAGATCTTCCGTCACTCTCTTCGTTCATGCGCTAGAGACGCTGGTGGCTGTGGGCTGAGGAGGCAGCGGCAGCCCTGCCACGTGCGAGCTTCATGCCGCGAGCCAGGAGGCCTTTCACGGGTGCCCCGTCTCAGCAGCGGCCATGCAGTCAGCAGGCCCCCCAGAGCCACAGCGCCGACTCCCCCGGCAAGCCAGGGCCCTGCGGAGCCTCGTGGGGAGAGGGCGTGAACCCGCAATCAGTGCATGCGCACTAAGCCAGGGGAAACGGGTTGGCTGGCTCGGGCCAGGAGGAGGAAGCTGGCCTTGAGTAAGTGCGGGAGTGTGAGCAGAATTTGGAGAGGGGAGAGAGAGACTGCTGGGGAAAAAATCTCCACACAGACTGTTCATGCCGTGTTGGCTGCCTTCTTGGAGAAGAGGTACAGCTGCAATCAGGACAGAAGTGCTCATTGCCAGTCAAATGTATTTATATAGTCATTTATTGGTTTTCTAGGTAGGTTGTTTTTTTTTGTTGTTTTTTTTTTTGGTTGACTGATATCCCAGAAATATTTAAAGTGAGTCACAAGAATGTTTAAAATACAACAGGAATAGTAAAAACAACAAAATCACAAGAATTAAAAGTGGGAGTTAAAAAAATAAAAGAACAGAAAGGTGGTAAACTAATGCCACCAGAATGAGGCTGAGATGCACATTCCACAGCGTTCCATTACTGCTCTGCGGGGTCCCTGCTGTCTGACAAGAGACGAGCTGACGCTGCAGACCAGCGATCCTACGAAACGAGCCTCCCTCTGCTCTCCCCTCTGCCCTTCCCTCCCCCTGCAAATGTTCACTGGGCCGGGCTCTGGCACAGGTGCTGGGACACAGGTGCTGCGAGCCAGGCACAGCTGCCACCCTTGTAACGCTCGGAGTTTAACATGGCCACTCACAGCCAAGAGTCGGTGGCTTTCTTGCTGTCCTTGCCAGGCAGAGACATGCAGTTTATGGAAGAATGATACGGAGCCTTTCCCACACTGCTAAACCTCGGCTGGTAATCTAGAGGGACAACTTTGCCCACAGACGTAGCTGGCTAGCGATGTGGCGGGGTGGAAGCGCGTTGCATCGGGGTCAGAAACGGATCAGAAGCCTTCACTGGGAGCCCCATATCGGGCGTTACAAGCTATGTGTCTTGGGTAAGTCACTTCACCTCCGTGGGCCTCCTCCTCCTCCTTAGGATCACGATGACCATTCCTGCCCTGCCTACCTCCCAAAACTGAGTGAGGATTCATCCACTTCACCGCTGACGTGTCTCTTCAGTTGGTCTGAGACATCACGCTGCGCACACACAACTTTAGACAAAAAGTAAAAACAAAATGATTCTGTTGGTTTGTCGGACAGTCTGTAGGACATGAGAATTCATCATTTGTCCCCCAGCTTTGAGGCCATCGAGTAGACCCCGACTCTCCAGAGTAGGTTTCCTTTGGGTTTCCAGGGAGGTGGACCCCGTCGGAATTCCTTGAGCCAGCTGGGGACAAGGGGATGGATGCAGCTCCAGTGTTCTCCAAGCTTTGGTCCTGTGTTTTCAACACATTGTTCTGCCACTCTGTGGGGTACATGCAGACCCGAAGGCTCCGGCTGGGCTGGGGGTGCCACCTGGACTGTCTTACCCAGCAAATGCTCCTCGGCGGAGACCAGGGGGAATGAGAGCACGGGAAAGTCCACTCTGGAGCAGCCTGAAGCCCTCTTCCTAAACGTGTACATTGTCTAGTTCTCACATGGCTATTGGCCAGACTAAAAGGAAGAGCGGCTTGCCATTAGCCTTTGATGTGAAACTGCTTGGATAATGTTTCCGTTGGCCATTTATCTATGTAGCGAGGAGGAACCTGAAACCAGCGTGGCCTGGGCCTCGTTCCTGCGGAAGCATGAGCGCCTTTTAATGGTTTCAAGGTCCTTGGGCCCTGCTTGTTTTGCTTGTTTCTCAAGAGCAGGTCCCTGTTCTTCTTTTCTTTCTTATGAAATAGGTTGTTATTTATCAAGAGGGCTCAAGTTGCCTAATGTCTTCTACAACACGCTTTCCAGTTTGTTTACAGAGATGGGTAGCTGATTTCATATTTTATATTCTGAGCAGGATAAAAAGCACACCAGCCCAAGCAGTCCTGAGCTTCAGAGAATAGAGGTCCCTGCGTCCCCCACCCCACTGGAGCCAAACATGGCGATTCCAGGATCCTGGCAAGACCTCTCTCTTTCCCATTCCACACAGCTATGTACAATTTATGGAAGGACAATATAGAACCTTTCCCAGTTCTTCTCGTTTGGTAACCTAGGGAGGAAACCCTCAAGCCTCCCATGGTGGTAGCCGAGTAGCACTGAACAAGAACCCATGGAGCTGCTCTAGCCAGAGCTTGGCATACCCAGGGGCAGAGTCTGTTTGCTAAACAGCTGAGATCCCAGTCTCCATTTCCCAAGTTAGGTTCATTCATAAACAACACAGGAATCGTGTAAAATTGAATAAATTCCAGATGTCACTTGTTAATACAATTAGCTCATGCTCCCTAGTGGCCCTGAGGGAGGTGTAATGGCCACAAACACTCTCCGAGCCTGCAGCAATGTCCCTTCCCAGCCCCTAATTGTGTGTGCTAAAAAGTGCTTTGCCCTGCCAAGAGGAGGTGGGGGCAGAAGCCTGGAGACCGTGCGTGTGTGTGTGTGTGTGTGTGTGTGTGTGTGTGTGTGTAGGGTTGTCCATCCATCACATGTTGAGTCTTTTAAGTTCAAATCTAAAGCACCCTAATTCCAGAAAGGAAAACCTGTTAGTTACATAAAGACCTTCCCCAATGGGCAAAGCAGCAGAGTTTTAAAGTATTTCACTGTTCACTAGCTGTGTGCCTTTGGAAAATTAGCCTCTCAAACCCTCCATTTTCCTCACCTGTAAAATGGGGCGATAAAATGACCTACCTCACACAGTTGTCATAAGAGTGGAACAGAAACTGTGTAAAG